TGTTTCTCCATTAAACCAGTGAGAGAAACCAGTGTCCTGTGTCAATTTATACTTAAAGAACCGGTTCAGCAGCTAAGAGCTGCTACGTGGCTGCCCTCAGGAGCTGGCACATCCCAGGACAGCTGTCCTGTTCTCAGGGGCTGGAGCCCCAGCCAGGCCCAGAGCCTCCTGGCCCAGCACCTGTCCCCAGGGGCCTCCGGCCCACAGCAGGCTGGTTGGCCCTGCACAGCAGCAGGGCCTCCCTGGCCAGGCAGCCATACTCACCCAGCAGGAAGGGAAGCTCCAGGGCAGGAGGACACTATTAGCTCCTCTGCAGAGTTCATCAAATAAACTAACTGCACTGTTTACTGTGTAAACTTGGACCAAAGCAGTGGAGGGGGTTCCTAACAAGGGCTGTTAATATGGATGGCTGACATTGCAGGCTCCTCCATAATGAGCCCATCACAGCCTAAGTCCCTGCAACCTTCCAGCTGAGGCAAGGAGAGGAGGGTGAGGAGTGGGAGGACGAGGTGCGTGCCTGCCTGCCCATTGGTGAGAGAGAAACATCAGCAGTGCCTGATTTTCCTGGTTGCGGCTGCAGGGTCCGTGCCAGAGGAGCAGCGTCTGCTGAGCACCGCTGTGTGCGGACGTTGAGCCTGGTGCTGGGATGTGGTGGAGGTGGATAAGTAAACCTCCAAAGGCTGGGCCGGCCCCTATTCTCTGGGTTAGGGAAGCCTTCCCAGAGCAGAAGGACACGGTTTCCAGCTGAACAGCCTCAGTTTGGGGAAAACTATGGTTACTTTTCTTCAGAAGGAATTGGGTGCCCATGGTCCCAGGACTGTTTCTCTCCTGCGTGGCTATCACATTCTTCCATAAAGAGCCTCTCTGAGCTGTGTTCCTGCAGCCTTATGGGCTAGGAGCTCCATAAGGGCCTCAAAGCATGGTTAGAGTGGCTGGTAGAGACGAGGCCCCATGGGGTAGTGAGAAGACCCGAGAAAGCCCAGTGTTCCTCCACATGGAAGCACAGTGCTCACTGTGAGCGATTGACCAATGGCCACCAGCAGCAGCTGCTCTCCTCAGGTGGGCAAGGACTGGTCAGCATTGAACGTAGGTGCCCTGACCTGGCCCAGGACATTCCAGCCTAAGTGAATTATCATTATTATTATTATTATTATTATTAAAGTTAAGGTATTTTTTAAAAAATGTTTTTACTTTTTTTGTGTCTTGTTTTGTTTTGTTTTTAGAGCGATAGGAAGGGAGAAAGAGAGATAGAAACATTGATGAGAGAGAAACATCAGTCGGCTGCCTCCTGTATGCCCCCTACCTGGGACTGAACCTACAACCCAGGCATGTGCCTTGGACGGATTTCAAACCTGTGACCTCTTGGTGCATGGGTTGATGCTCCACCACTGAGCCATACCAGCCGGGCACTAGCCTAAGTGATTTAAAAGGGATGGTCCATCCTGGCTCTAGGCCTGCTCTGCCAGCACCACTGACTGTGATGTTGGGCAGAAAACCTCACTTCTCTGGGCCGTTTCCATGTTTGCACACGGAGGGATTTGGGCCAGGTGGGAAGCAGTAGTTTGGGTTAATCTAGCCTAACTGGTTAAGAAGCCAGGCATAGGATGTGCATATGCACAGAGAAACGTGGCAGTGGGATGCCAGCCGAGGCCCAAGGCTGGGCTTCTGGGGCTCCAAGCATCTCCAGATGAAGGCGATGTGTATGCGTATGTGTGCATTTCTCAGGGAAGAGGGTCAAGAGCTTCCACCAGATTCTCTAAGAGCTCAACAATGGCCAAGAACTATTGTGTTCTGATCTGATTAAGGTTCTTTCAAATTCTAAGACCCTGTAGTTCTGAAACTGCCACACCTCCATGAGATCCTCTCCCCGAGGGTAGGTCCTAGACAGGGTGCCCTGAGGTCTCTCTGAGTGCACGCATGGCTGCATTCTGGGATGAAGATAAAGGGGCTCCCACCCACGAAGTGGGCTCATATAGTACAGGGTTGAAAGCACAGCATTTGACATTGGACAGACCTGAGTCTGAATCTCTACTCTCCTTTTGCAGAGGTACCTGCGCATCTCAGTTTCCTCATCTATAAAATTGACAGAATAATGCAGGGTGATTCCAAGTCTGAAAACACAGGCAAATATATAATGTCATTTATGGAGAGTACATCATCGTCCATGATACACTAACATCAACTATTGTCTAGACTCTATGGCCACTCTAGAATAGCATCTGCATCAGGGCGTGGTTTTGAGAGTTATATGCAATGATGAATGCATGTTGCATGGCATGTGTAGGTGCTAAGAAATGTTACCAATAATGGTAATGGCTAAGCTTAGCTTCCTGCCCTCAGGTGATGCCTCTGACTACAGCCACATCCCCATGGTCTCTCCTAATGTATTGTGTCAGGAGGAGTTCTCAAATTCCAGGGGGTGGATAAACCAGACAACATGGACCAGGGGTCTGTGTCCAGCCAAGCAGCTGGGCTAAGAGCAGCCTGCAGAGACAGCAGAGTGGTTTAGAGCAGTGGTTCTCAACCTTGGCTGCACATTAGAATCACCTGGGGATTTTTTTAAAATCCTGATTTCTGGGCCTCATCCTCTGGAAATTCTGTTTCTTTGTTATGGGGTGGGGCCACAACATTAGTAACAAAGAAACAGAATTTCCGGAGGATGAGGCCCAGAAATCGGGATTTTAAAAAGATTCCCAGGTGATTCTAATGTGCAGCCAAGGTTGAGAACCACTGGTTTAGAGGGTGGCGAGGCAGGCAGGGACCAGGGTCCTGCAGCAATTGAGAGGGAAGTACAGGTGAGTGCACCTGCAGTCAGTCTCCAGGTGTTGATTGTGGCCTAAGGGAGTGGCACCAAAATAAGCAGATGAGTTCTGCTCCTGATTGGCACAGAGGGGTGGGGAATGCAGAAGTAAACTCATAACAGGTAGATGTGAGTGACTGAGCATCTCTAAGAACAGTAAGGGCCCCATGAGTCTCCCTGGAAACCTGTATCTGTAATTGCCTCTCCCTACCCATTCTTTAATTAAAATGAAACCCCAGCCTTACGGGGGTGGGGCATAATAGCTGCGAGGCAGAGATGCTTAGAGAAGCAGAAGGTCTCTCCTGGGTTCTCTGAGTGAGAGTCAGATCCCAGGGGGAGGGATAAAGCAATGTTTGGAATGAGGGAGGTTGCTTGATGGATGAAGGCAACAACAAAAAATCTATTAGCAGTGCTTTGAGCTCCTTAGAGAACAGTTCTCAAGGAAGCCAAGTAAACAACTTCCTGATACTCAAGATTTGTTAATTAAGCACTCTGAACGGGCTCTGGGGGAGGGGGCAAACAACTATAGAATCTGGCTTCTGAGAGTCTGCTAGCTTTGAGCAAGAGGGCAGTGCACCGGGGCCAGTGGTCTCCAGTGTCTCCCAGTCTGTCTGAGAGGCCCGGTTGCTGCCACCACATGTGGGGAGGCAGGGGCTGAGCTGGGTGTGCAGGGACACACGTGTGTTGTCCATCCAGGTGCCCATGAGCCAGCCGTACAGCACACAGCAGCAATATCTGACCTGCACAGGGAAAGGCCACCTGGCGTCACCGGAGGGCACACCGGGAAGAAATGGGTGCCCACTGATGCCTGAGGAGTCCATCCGGACTTTGATTTAAGCACAAGGCACCTCTGAGCTTCTCTTAAAGTGCATATACTCCTGGGAAAAGCATGTATTAAGTCACTATGTCTTCTGTGAGGGAAGCTGCATTGGAGAGAGGGGATCTCAGGGGGTGAGTGAGCAGGGTTGAGGGGAGGGGGGCACTTCAAGGGTGAGGGGCAGGGCACCTGGAAGCCCAAGACTTGGGAATGTGGAGGAGAAGAGTGCCCAACCCGCCCCAGGTTCCCTGTCATCCTGCCCAGATGCCTAAATAATGCCCCAGAAAAGCCCAGGTAAGAGAGGAGGAAGTGGAGAGGGAGCAGGCGGACATGGGATGGAATCCTCATGAGTGATGTCAGGCATTTGCTTTTCCCAGGATATTCTCAGGGCCAGTACTCTCAGGGCCACTGTTTTGATTCTGGGAGCAGACCTGGATGAACACTTCCTCCTCTTCCTACTTCCCACTGTCACCAGTTCCAGTCCCGCATGTCCCAGTCCACTCAGTCTCCCTGTACCCATGGAGTGCTACCGAAATATGCTTGGCAGATAGACTCATCTCCGGGGGAGCTACATAGAGAGAGATCCTTGGATGACCGCTTGCAGGAGAGGGGGGGTTCTTTATGTGAAGGGAGTACGTCCAGCCTGGCTCCCACCCTAGTTACCCATGTCTCACACTGTGGCCCTTCCCTAGACAGAAGGCCCAGTCTCGGCCCCCGACTCACTCTGTCTCCAGCCTTCTGGGAAATGTCCCTTGTAACCATCTCAGATGGAGGGAGCCGTCCAGTGCCTGGGACCCGCTGCCACAGTGCAGAGTTCCAGAGTTGGGCAAAGCAGGAGGGGTTTGCAGACAAAGGGAAGGAGCTCTCCTCTCCCCACGTGGGAGAGACAAGTGTACAGTGGGGGATATAGAACACCCAGGAACAACACATTTACATCCCAAGATGGGCCCACCAATGTCCAGCTTTGTCACAGTGAGTCCCCAAGCACAGAGGCTAGTGGTCAGTCGGAGAGGAGGATGCCAGCCGGGAATCCCTCAGTGACATCTGGGCCGGCCACAGTGTCCACAAAGCTGGGTCTGTACAGTCCCTGGGCTGCATCCCCCCAGTGAGTGCTGTCACGGAGCTCCCTGAGAGAAGGCAGGCAGAGGAAATGCAAGGAGGCTGGGAAAGGCAGCACAGGGCTGGGCTGGGGCCATCTGTCATCTCTGTACCTGTTCCTTTTTACACGGCACTAGTCCAGGCTGTGTGCTCTTCTCCCTGTGCTTCCTTCCGGCTGGGCAGAGGGGGCCTATCCCCAGTTCCCACCTTTTCCCCCTGCGTCTGACTTCCCAGCCTCAGCAAGCAGACACATCCTTACCTCTACCATCTCATCTTTTCCGCACAATGGCTGAGTGAGATCAAATTACTTATGCCCTTTGGGAAGTTAAGGAAATATAGGCTTAGGGAAGTTAGAAAGCTTGTCAAAGACCATACTACCAAAAAGTCCAGAGCAGGGATGTGAATACACAATGTAAGACTAGAAGACCTATCCAGTGGTTCTTCCACCAAACACACTGCACCTATAATATACTGCACCTACAGTACACTAAGACGTATAGTACATTGTCACTTACAGTATACTGGCACCCACAGCACATTGCACCTACAGTACCCTGCACCTACAGCACACTGGGACCTACAGTACACTGCACCTACAGCACACTCAGACCTACAGTACACTGCACCTACAGCACACTCAGACCTACAGTACACTGCACCTACAGCACACTCAGACCTACAGTACACTGCACCTACAGCACACTCAGACCTACAGTACACTGCACCTACAGCACACTCAGACCTACAGTACACTGCACCTACAGCACACTCAGACCTACAGTACACTGCACCTACAGCACACTCAGACCTACAGTACACTGCACCTACAGCACACTCAGACCTACAGTACACTGCACCTACAGCACACTCAGACCTACAGTACACTGCACCTACAGCACACTCAGACCTACAGTACACTGCACCTACAGCACACTCAGACCTACAGTACACTGCACCTACAGCACACTCAGACCTACAGTACACTGCACCTACAGCACACTCAGACCTACAGTACACTGCACCTACAGCACACTCAGACCTACAGTACACTGCACCTACAGCACACTCAGACCTACAGTACACTGCACCTACAGCACACTCAGACCTACAGTACACTGCACCTACAGCACACTCAGACCTACAGTACACTGCACCTACAGCACACTCAGACCTACAGTACACTGCACCTACAGCACACTCAGACCTACAGTACACTGCACCTACAGCACACTCAGACCTACAGTACACTGCACCTACAGCACACTCAGACCTACAGTACACTGCACCTACAGCACACTCAGACCTACAGTACACTGCACCTACAGCACACTCAGACCTACAGTACACTGCACCTACAGCACACTCAGACCTACAGTACACTGCACCTACAGCACACTCAGACCTACAGTACACTGCACCTACAGCACACTCAGACCTACAGTACACTGCACCTACAGCACACTCAGACCTACAGTACACTGCACCTACAGCACACTCAGACCTACAGTACACTGCACCTACAGCACACTCAGACCTACAGTACACTGCACCTACAGCACACTCAGACCTACAGTACACTGCACCTACAGCACACTGGGACGTACAGTACACTGTCCCACAGTACACCACACCTACAGCACACTGGGACCTACAGTACACTGCACCTACAGCACACTCAGACCTACAGTACACTGGCACCTACAGTACACTGCACCTACAGCACACTCAGACCTACAGTACACTGGCACCTACAGTACACTGGGAGGCCGTGCCATGGGGCCTCCTCTATGTGTGTCCTTCCACATTGCAGCCCAGGTCTGCCACCTGCCACTCTTTCATTTTCACAGTATATTGCTTACCGGTGAGGCTGGTCAAGGGAGTCACCATCCATCTCGAGTAAGAAGCAGAGATGTCTGGATCTACAAACTCCATTTAGCAACAACTAGCTGTGGGGACCTCAGTGCAGGAAACCCCTGCTTGCCTGACCTCGTCTGTCTCCCAAGCCCTAGGAGACATGAAGAAGAGAGGAAGAATCTTCTGTGTGTGTGAGCTTTCAGAGGTTGCAGGAGCAATAACCATGGACTCCTCTGAACCTCAAAGACTCAAGCTCATCTCATTATTGGAGGTAATTTAGGCTATTGGATGGGCAGAAGAGCAATCTCTCTAAAGCTATCAAGAAAATCCAAGATTGGAATACCAATTCAAATTGTTGAGATGTAAATTCTCTCAAATTAATTTAATCTATAGAATCAATAGGATTGCACAGTCAAAACCCAAGCAGACTTTTATGTTGTTTTTTTAATAGAATTTGAGTAGCTGGTTTTAAAATTGTATAGGAAGCAAATAATTTAAAATTTTTAAGGCTCACTATAAGCTACATTTCCCAAGACTATAGTAGTAAGGATAGATGTATATATATATCAGTGAAACAGAATAGAGAGTTAAGAAATAGATCCATACATATATGACCAGTTTATTTTCAACAGAAGTGGCAAGGCAATTTAATGAATTAAAGGAAAGTCTTTTCAACAAATTGTGCTAGAATAACTTAAAATTGGAAAAAAAAATGAATCCTCATCCTTATCTCACTCCATAAAGAGAAATTAATTTGAAATGGATCATCAACCTAAATATCAAAAGCTAAAACTGTAGAATTTTAGAAATATCCACAGGAGGAGAACTTCATAACCTTGAATTAGGCCAATATTTCTAAGATAGGAAACAAAAGGCATAAACTATTGAAGAAATAATATTTTTTTTAAATCTTAATTTATTAAGATTTAAAACTTTTGTTCTTTGAAAAATATTAACTACAAAAGATAAGCCAGAGACCAGGAGAAAAATATTCACAGCACATTGAGCTGATAAGACACTTGTATCCAAAATATATCAAGAATTCTTACATCTTAATAGTAAGACAACTCAGTAAAAATTATCAAAAGATTTCACAGATACCTCACTAAAGAGGATTTATGAATGTCCAATAAGCACATGAAAGGTGCTCAACATCATTAGTTCATAAAAAATGTAAGTTAAAACTAAAATGAGATATCATTACACACTCATGCTAATAACTAAAATGAAAAAGACTGATGATAACACGTGTTTATGAGGATCTGGATCAACATGCTCTCATATAATTTTGGTAGGAGTGTTTTTCATCTACTCTGGAAAACAATTTAACAGTTTCTTATGAAGTTAAACATAAATGAGCCCCATAAGATACCAATTCCACACTTGGGCATGTACCCAAGTAAAATGAAAACATATGTCTGCACAAACACTTATATATGATGTTCCTAGTAGCGTTACTTATAATAGCTCCAAACAGAAAACAGCAGAAGTGCCTATAAATAGGGGAAGAATAAACAAATTGTTTATTCAGAAATAAAAATAAATAAGGTAATGTCTCATATGACAATGTGGGCAAATCGCACCACATTCTCCTGTGTTAAGTAAGTTAGATATACAAGCATAAAAGAGTCTACATGGTAAAATTTCATTGGCATGAAACTTTGCAGAAAACTGGTCTAAGGGACAGAAAGTAGGTCAGGGTTGCTTAGAGCCAGGAATTGACTGTGAAGAGGCACAAGGAAACCTTTAGGTCCGTGGTCGGCAAACTGCGGCTCGCGAGCCACATGCGGCTCTTTGGCCCCTTGAGTGTGGCTCTTCCTAAACCTTAGGAGTACCCTAATTAAGTTAATAACAATGTACCTATCTATATAGTTTAAGTTTAAAAAATTTGGCTCTCAAAAGAAATTTCAATCGTCGTACTGTTGATATTTGGCTCTGTTGACTAATGAGTTTGCCGACCAATTGCTTTAGGTAATTGAAACATTCTACATCTTGATCTGTAGATGATAGATATAGATATAGATATAGATATAGATATAGATATAGATATAGATATAGATATAGATATAGATATATCCACGCACATTTGTGTATGCATATGTATGTATTTGTATTTTACACTCATCAAACTGAACATTTAAAATGAGTCCATTTTATAGTAGGTAACTTATATCTCAACAAAGCTACTATAAAAAGAATACGTATACCAATCTTCTCTCATCATGCTTCCTAATAACCATAATGGCCCCATTGTGCTTAGAATACAGTCCAACTTCCTTACCATGTTCTACAAGGTCCTGCATGGTCTGGTGCCATCTCTCGCTACTGTCCCCATTGCCCACCTCGGGCCTACCCAGGGGTAGACCCCTCTGCCTGGAATGCTCTTCACTCAGCAGCAAATCCCCTGCCTTCTGGCTTCACCCCACCAGTTTCCAATAAGCCTTCCTTCTTGTGAGTGATCCTCCTTCATTCCCCAGTTTAAATGCAGTCCCCTTATTACTAGTATCTTGGCTCATGGCAATCTTTTCCTCCTTAGTCCTTGATCACAATTTGTACATGTGAATTAATGTGGTGTCTACTTCTTAACTGTTCTTCTTACCCTAGACTGTGAGATAAACATAGAAGCTAGTCTGCTCTGTAACTACTGAATCCCTAGCATCTAGCAAAGTCCCTGGCACATAGCAGATGTTCAATAAATATTTGATGGATAAATTGATAGATCAATGAATTAGTACCTCTTCCTCTGGGAGGAAGTCATTTGAGATGAATGAACAATGGTGTGGGCAACATGCTGTAGAATGAAGGACTGTCCTTGGGTATTGAGCCCTGGCTCTCATTAATGTAAAGACCAGACTTGATTCAGCAGATCTGGGTAGGAGCCCATCAATCCTAACATCTAACAAGGGACCCAGGGTAATTCTGATGCTTAAGATGTATGATAATAACTAGGTAAACAGGTATACATATCCTATATCATAAAACCCTAATATGCAAATTGACCAACGGCGGAACCACTGGCTGAACAACTGGCAGAACAACTGGTCGTTTTGATGTGCACTGACCACCAGGGGGCAGATGCTCAACGCAGGAGCTGCCTCTTGGTAGTCAGTGCACTCCCACAGGGGATGTGCCACTCAACCAGAAGCTGGGCTTACATCTGGTGAGCGCAGAGGTGGTGGTGGGATTCTTTCCTGCCTCCATGGCAGTGCTAAGGAATAGCGAGCCAAGCAGTAAGGAGCAGCAAGCAGGCAGGCAGTAAGGAGCGAGGGGTTCCGGGCTGCGAGAGGGTGCAGGCTGGGCTGAGGGACCCCTATAGTGCACGAATTTCATGCACCGGGCCTCTAGTATCCTTATAAACACAAGCCAACCTATATAGAGAGAAATTTTCCTTTTATTTATTTTTATTTTTCAATTACAGTTGACATTCAATATTACATTAGTTTCAGGTGTACAGCATAGTGGTTAGACACTTATATAACTTATGAAATGGTCACCCTGATAAATCTAGTCACCACCATACACAGTTATTACATTATTGTCAACTATATTCTTTATGCTATACTTTACATCCCCGTGATTAGTTTATAACTGCCAATTATTTTGTAACTCCTCTCACCTACTTTTCCCAGCCCCCAACCTCCCTTCCCTCTGACAATCATCAGTCTGTTCTCTGTATCTATGAGTCTGTTTCTGTTTTGTTTATTTATTTTGTTCTTTAGATTCCACATATAATAAGTGAGATCATATGGTATTTGTCTTTCCGTGTCTGCCATTTCATTTAGCATAGTATCCTCTAGGTCAGTGATGGCGAACCTTTTGAGCTCGGTGTGTCAGCATTTTGAAAAACCCTAACTTAACTCTGGTGCCGTGTCACATATAGAAATTTTTTGATATTTGCAACCATAGTAAAACAAAGATTTATATATTTTTTTTTAATATATTTTTTATTGATTTTTTACAGAGAAGAAGGGAGAGGGATAGAGAGCTAGAAACATCGATGAGAGAGATCGACCAGCTGCCTCCTGCACGCCCCCCAGTGGGGATGTGCCCGCAACCAAGGCACATGCCCTTGACCGGAATCGAACCTGGGACCCTTGAGTCCGCAGGCCGACGCTCTATCCACTGAGCCAAACCGGTTCGGCGAGATTTATATTTTTGATATTTGTTTTATATATTTAAATGCCATTTAACAAAGAAAAATCAACCAAAAAAACGAGTTCGCGTGTCACCTCTGACACGTGTGTCATAGGTTCGCCATCACTGCTCTAGGTCCATCCATGTTGTTGCAAACAGTAAGATCTCATTCTTTTCATGGCTGAGCAATATTCCATTGTACATATGTACCACATCTTCTTTATCCAATTGTCTATTGATGGGTACTTAGGTTGCTTCATTACCTTGGTTATTGTAAATAATGCTGCAAAGAACATAGAGCTGCATGTCCTTTTTCAAATTAGTGTTTTGGACTTTTAAAGATAAATACTGAGAAGTGCAGTTGTTGGGCCATGGGATGTTTGAGCCACTGTTTGCTTAAAAAAAAAGAGAGATCTTCTTCAACTCATTTATCTGCATTGTGGTTTAGTCACTCAACAATCCCCCCAGGTTGCTAGGTATAGAAGTATCACTTCTTCTTTCTTTACAGATACATAATAGGATATGGAGTGTGTGGCAGTCCTTAGACTGCTTACTAATATTTTAGTTTCCTTTCCTTCCAGGCACATGGGAGAACTTCATTCCCTGGCTCACCTGTGGTTGAATGGGGCCTGTAACTATTTTTAGCCGTCGAATTATGACTTCTGGGCTGAAACATTTAATCATCTGGTACAAGATCCTCCAGAACTGTTTCCCTTTGGCAAGGCAGCATCGATACTCAAGGTTGTGTTTGCTCCATCAGCCTGTGTCCCTGAATAACCCTGAGGAGTAGAGGTTCCTACCTGGCTCGAATTGGACATGTAATTGAGTAAGTAACCCACTATTATTGTTTTAAGTCACTTCGATTCTGGAATTGTTT